TCATGTTAGCTAATATGTTTAAGCCTAAGTCAAGATAGAAGCTGACCCAGATTATTAGCATGTTTCAGTGAATAATATTTTAAAATAATTCAACACTGACACATAATACTATAGTATTCCACTTAGATATAAAAAATATGATAAAAGAAGTCTCATGTTCTTATCCTGGCATGGTGGCTCACACCTGTAATCCTAGGACTTTGGGAAACCAAGGGTGGGGGGGATCCTTGATGCCAGGAGTTTGAAACCAGACTGGACAATATAGTGAGACCTCTCTCTACAGAAAATTTAAAAACTAGCTGGGCGTTGCCGCGAGCACCTGTAGTCCCAGCTACTGGGGAGGCTGAGGTGGGAGAATTGCTTTTCCCAGGAGTTCCAGTCTACAATGAGCTATGATCACATCACTGCACCCCAGCCTGGGTGATACAGTGAGACCCTGTCTCTTAAACAAACAAACAAAAAGTAATCCCAGAACTCTAATGATCTTATATGATATAGGACTTTAAAAAACTAGCCAGGCATGGTGGCGCATGCCTGTAGCCCCAGCTGCTTGGAAGGCTGAGGCAGGAGAATCTCTTGAGCCTGGGAGGCGGAGGTTGCCCTGGATGATAGAGCGAATCTCTGTCTCAAAATAAGTAAATAAATGAATGAAAGTATACCGAAAGTTTTAACTTAACAAATTTTATTTACGCCTCGCATTGATGAAGTGATAAGAACAGATAAGTAATACTAATACACATATAAGATTTTTACAATTTTTTTTAAATTAGACCCTTATGATATACAAAGGAATTTAATTTTTTTCTTTTCTTTTGAGACGAAGTCTCGCTCTGTCACCAGGCTGGAGTGCAGTGGTGCGATCTTAGCTTGCTGCAATCTCCACCTCCTGGGTTCAAGCAATTCTCCTGCCTCAGCCTCCCGAGCAGGGACTACAGACATGCGCCACCACGCCCGGCTAATTTTTTGTATTTTTAGTAGAGACGGGGTTTCACCATGTTGGCCAGGATTGTCTCAATCTCTTGACCTCGTGATCCACCCGCCTCGGCCTCCCAAAGTGCTGGCGTTACAGTTGTGAACCACCGCGCTCGGCTGCAAAGAGATTTAAATCTATCAATTTTATCTTAATGCAAAATTTTTGTCATTTGTGATATTTTCCAATAGCTTATCTGAATTCCTTAGAATCAGATTTCAAAATAAGGTTTCAAAGTCAAGTTTCTTTGAAATTACAATTCAAAAATATTTAGATTTTAGAAAGATAATGTGGTAAATATACTGCCTATTATGGAATATCCCTAGTGGCAAATCATATGAATAATCACATGAACTGGGATCAATAAGACTATAAATACCCTTGGTCGAGTGTGGTGGTTCACACCTATAATCCTAGCACTTGGGGAGGTTGAGGCTGGCAGATCACGAGGTCAGGAGATCGAGACCATCCTGGCTAACACGGTGAAACTCTGTCTTTACTAAAAATACAAAAAATTAGCCGGGCGTGATGACAGGCGCATGTAGTCCCAGCTCCTCGGGTGGCTGAGGCAGGAGAATGGCCTGAACCCAGGAGGTGCAGCTTGCAGTGAGCGGAGATCCGCCACTGCACTCTAGCCTGGGCGACAGAGGGGGACTACGTCTCAAAAAAAAAAAAAAAGAAAAAAATTATCTGGATGTGGGCAGGTGCCTGTCATCCCTGCTACACGGGAGGCTAAGGCAAGAGAATTACTTGAACCCAAGAGCTGGAGGTTGCAGTGAGCCGAGATCGCGCCATTGCACTCCAGCCCAGGCAACAGAGCAAAAGCTCCAAGCTCCATTTCAAAAAAAAAGACTATAAATATCCCTACATCAGCATAGATCAGATTTTTACCAAACTTACGTTTAGGTATTCATAACTGTTGGATTTTGTAATTCCCCATGAAGAATTGTAGATCTGCATATATTTTCAAGTATTAATAGTTAGAATTACGTAGTTTATAATTTATAAGTCCAATTTTTGGTTATTTTCATTATTAATACTTTTCCTTTCCTCTACCCTTTCCGAAAGACAATACAATACGTTTCTTTTCTTTTTTCTTTCCTTTTTCTTTTTCTTTTTTTTTTGAGAAGGAGTCTTGCTCTGTCCCCCAGGCTAGAGTGCAGTGGCACGATCTCTACTCAGTGCAACCACCAGCTCCCAGGTTCAAGCAATTCTCCTGCCTCAGCCTACTAAGTAGCTGGGACTACAGGTGTATGCCACCATGCCCAGCTAATTTTCATATTTTTAGTAAACATGGGATTTCATCATGTTGGCCAGGCTGGTCTAGAACTCCTGACCTCAAGTGATTTACCTGCTTCAGCTTCCCAGAGTGCTGGCATTACAGGTGTGAGTCACTGCACCCGGTCAAGAATACAATATGTTTCTAAGTTGATAGTCTCTCGTTTATCCACGTTTCTATGATGAACTCAAGTAATTTCTAATTTCTCCCTATTAGAAAGAATGCTGCTTCAAATAATTTCATTTATGTATATTTTTGTTCATTTAAACAATTTCCTTAGAATAAATTCCAAAGCATAAGCCGCTAGATCAAAGAGAATTAAATCCTTTTATTTTAAAAAACATATTGGCAGATTTCTTCCAGAAAGAACTATGCTAATTTACAATGTCCCCAGAAAAATATTAGTATGCTTTTTCGGTAGTATTATTAACTGGACCATCGGTATTCCTTTCTTATGCCCCTTTAATAGTGTAGGATGGTTCATTTACTCTTTTTTATATTAGCATTTCTTTAATTACTACTAGTGAAAAGAATACAGTCCCATATATACACGTATGTGTTAACTGCGCATTCATTTTCTTTGTCCTTTTGTTGATCAAGGTCTTAGTGGTGGTCATGTATATTTGAATATGTTTTTAGTTATTAGCTCTTCATCATGTTATAGTTATTTTGGTCATTTTACTGATGCTTAATTGGTAAGAATCAATTTCACTAGGGATAAAAGTCAGAAGAACAGATATTGTGAGTTGCTTTGTGAAGATTCAAGGACCTTCAAGGACCTCGGAACAGCCAAGGATAATCATTCCTATTTTTCATCTTCAATGGAAAAAAGAGCCCATTATACCTTTCTAGCCTATTCTGGAATAAATAATAATTAAATTTTATTTATTGTAAACTAACAAAGGAAACAGTGTAAGTTAATGAAATGTAGTCTCTACAACTTGTTAGACTTTTTATTTTTTATTTGTTATTTTTAGTTGGACTTTGTTTTTGAGACAGAATCTCGCTCTGTCACCCAGTCTGGAGTGCAATGGCTTGATCTCAGCTCACTGCAAACTTTGCCTCCCAGGTTCAAGTGATTGTCCCTGCCTCAGCCTCCCTAGTAGCTGGGATTACAGGCGCACACCACCATGCCCGGCTATTTTTAGTAGAGACAGGGTTTTGCCATGTTGACCAGGCAGGTCTCCAACTCCTGACCTCAGGCCATCTGCTCGCTTTGACCTCCCAAAGTGCTGGGATTACAGGCTTGAGCCACCGCACCAAGCAACAAGCTAATTTTTGTGTGTTTAGTAGAGACCGGCCTTCACTTCATGTTGGCCAGACAGGTCTCGAACTAGACCTCAAGTGATCCACCGGGCTCGGCCTCCCAAAGTGCTGGGTTTACAGGCCAGAGACCCCGCGCCCAGCCGGCATTGATGTTACTTAAATTACAAAGTAACCGGTCAGGTGCGGCCGCTCACGCCTGTAATCCCAGCATTTTCAGAGGCCGAGGCAGGCGAATCACCTGAGGTCGCAAGTTCCTGAGACCAGCCTGACCAACATGGAGAAACCCCGTCTCTACTAAAAAATAAAAATACGAAATTAGCCGGCATGGTGGCACATGCCTGTATTCCCTGCTATTCAGGAGGCTGAGGCAGGAGAATCGCTTCAACCTGGGAGGCAGAGGTTGTTGCAGTGAGCCGAGATCGCACCATTGCACTGTAGCCTGGGCGACAAGAGCCAGACTCCGTCTCAAGAAATAAACATCACAGCCTGGCACGGTGGCTTATGCCTGTAGGCCCAGCACTTTGGGAGGCCCAGGCAGGCAGATCACTAGATCAGGATCAGCCCTAGGCTGAGCTGCAGCTGGCATTTGAACGTGGCAGCAGCGGTGGCAACCCAGTACCTGTCCGTGCCACCAGCAACGGCGAACCCCAGGGTCGGACACCGCCACTGCGCCTAAGTCAGGCGGTGGGACCTCAGCTGTGGGAGGGCGGGAACCTGTCGCAAAGCTTCATCGTGTCAGCTATACAGGGCCCAGAGGTCGCGAGCTTGAGCTGCCAGCGCCGGCCAAGGAAGAGCAGAGCCCAGGGTGGAAGGGGGTGCACTCGGCGACCCTCAGCGGTCTGGGCCCAGCCCTGCAGCCTCCACTGTGGACTCAGGTGCAGCTCCCACCTGAACATGGCACGCGGCAGCAGGGACTCCAACCCTGACCCTGTCAGCGCCACCAGCAGGGCAGATACTTGGGCCAGAAGCCTCCAGGGCGCCTAAGTCAGGGGGTCGGTTCCCAGTTGCAGGAAGGCGGGAATCGACGCTCAGCGCCACCCTGGAGGCTGCACGGTGCCCAGCACCAGGGTCTAGCTCCTGGATCGCGGGTCGAGGAGGGGCCAGGGGCGGCTACGTCAAGCAGGCCGTGTTGCAGGGCGCCCGCCACCTTCCGCTCCAAGGAGGCCCGCCAGCCCGGCAGTGCCTCAGCGGCAGGTGCCACCTGCACGCGGTGCCCGGTGGAGCGCGGCCAGGGCGCGTGTCTCCTCAGCCTGTTGAGTTGCGCATGAGCTGCTGCCTAACGGCTCTGCTCAGAATTTCTCCCGAGGGAGGCCGGAGTGTCCAAGAGCTTGGCGATACAGAAATTTTTACTGGTGTTGGGGCGGGTGCGGGAACTAAAGAAGGGCAAGTGGGAGCTGGGTGGGTGCTGGGGAAGGGCCAACAGGAAGCGAGGGCGAGCGGTAGGGGCTGGGGAAGGGCGAGCGGGAGGCGCGGGTTCTCTCTAGCAGGGGCCTGCCGCCATGAAGAGGCTCTCAGCTGCCGCTGGCAAGGGCGTGCCGGGCCCGGAGCGCCCGAGCGCCTTCAGCGAGCTGGTCTACACCAAGAACGACTCGTACATCATCCACTTCGGGGATCTCGGGAAGATCCATAAAGCTGCCTCCCTGGGCCAAGTCCAGAAGCTGGAGAGTATGACAGTAACGAAGAAAACCATCGACCTGAACAAAAGAGATGTGAAGAAGAGGTACCAGGCCCTGCCTGAGCCGGGGCTGCAGGAGGAGGTGGTGGCTGTGGGAGGATCGCCCCTTCAGAATGAGGAGCTGGGGGGCCTGGGGACGAGGGGAGCAGGTGGAGGAGTGGTGGGTGGAGGAGTGGCGGGCTGTGGGGCGGCCATCCTGGGCAGGACCCCCAGGCCTGGGATGGGGGTGCCCTGCAGGGCAGAGGGCCCAGGCCACCTTAAAATCAACTCCAAACTTTAGTTGCTTTCTTCTTCACTCCCACTTCCTCTCACAGAGCACTGTGTAGAAGATTTTAGAGTGATTTAACTCACAAAATTAAGTACATACAGGGTTTTACTTTTAATGTACAGGTTTTAAAAGATAATGTTAGACACACTATGAAATGGTGCATAATGAAATAATTCCTATAATATATGAACTTCTTGGCTAAAAATTCTTTGGATAAAGTCCAATGTCCATTTTGATATCAATGAATGTCTATGTAAATATGTTCTTTGCTGAGGGACCCTAGAAGGAAACTTCGAGGTGGGAAGATGGCTTATGTTCTTGAATTTAAGAAGACTCATTTTTCTCAAGATGCAACTTCTTTAACAGTTTTACATAAACCAAGTAAAGTTATCAACGTTTTAACATTTTTAAAATTACACAGGCTTTTACTATTGTGATGACATTTTAAATATTTTGTAACGGAGTAGAAAAGTCCTGCCCTTCTAGATATCAAAATGTGCTATTAATTTGCACAAGATGGGCCGGGAGCAGTGGCTCACGCCTGTAATTCCAGCACTTCGGGTGGCTGAGGCGGGTGGATCATCTGAGGTCAGGAGTTCAAGACCAGCCTGGCCAATACGGTGAAACACCGTCTCTACAAAAATACAAAAATTAGCCGGGCCTGATGTTGGCTGCCTGTAATTCCAGCTACTCGGGAGGCTGAGGCGGGAGAATCACTTGAACCCGATAGGTGGAGTTTGCAGTGAGCCGAGATCCTGCCATTGCAATCCAGCCTAGGTGACAGAATGAGGCTCTGTCTAAAAAAACAAACAAACAAAAAATCACAAATTATTTGCTAACAGCTGAAAAGACAGGTAATTGAATACAACAGAATAGAAAATCCAGAAACACCCAAATATATGTAAGAATTTAGAACTTGATAATGATCACACTTTATACTAGTAGGAAAAGAATTAGTTTCATAAGTGAAATGCCTGCTTTTTGGAGAAAACTAGATTTTTATGGCACAAAATAAGTTCCTGATGGAATATAGATTAAAAATTTTTAATATACAAAAAGATAAAAATACCAGAAAAAACATGCCTATTTACACAGATACATTTTTATGTTGACAAAACCTTTCTAAGAAGCTCAGAAGCAAGCATTCTGAAGGGTAATTTAGTAAAACAAAAATTAAATTACCCTGCATATGTGAAAAAATAAAGGGCAGCATACTTGTAAATATTTACTACTCATGTATGTGTATGTGTGTATACATATTAGATTTAAAAATCTTTGTTTTATAGAGAATTCATTCAAATCAACAGAAAATCCTCTAATTTAAAATTGGGTAATTTAAATTAGTTATCTAAATTGTAGATCTAAAAAAAGTACTGGGCCTCTAATTTAAAACTGGGCAAAGTCCTGTTTTAAGATCTGCGAGTGACCTATGTACATAGGAAACAATATTTAGTGTTCCTGGTTAGAGAAGACATTTAAGTTAAAAGAGGAATCAAATACTGTTTTCTACCTACAAAGTTTGTGAGGATAAAAGGCAGTGACATTCATAGTACTCTTTAAAGTGTAAGTTTCAGATGACTTTTCCAATAGACAATTTGATGGTAAGTACCATATTTAAAAATTGTATATGCCCATTAGTGATCAATTCTATTATACTAAAATATTTTTAGAAAATAATGAAACATATCACAATTTCTTTTCTGAGCACTGCTTAAAATATCAATGTATTAAAAAGAATCCATTTAATGGTTTTTATAAATACATTTCAGTGAGTTTACAGCATGGGATAATATGTGACCACTCAAGGCAGAAACATATACAGAAGTATGTTAACATTTGAAAATGGATTTTGGTGTACCAAGTGAGGGTAAAATTCAGTTTGATTATACATACAGACTATGGTCTTGTGTTATCTGAAATTATGTCCAAAATATGATAAAATTTGTTATTTGAGGACGTTTGTTTTAATATAAAATGTTTTTCCTTTTTATTATTTTTGATTTCTGCATTGAACATGTACAATGCTATTAGTGAAAGTTTATTATTAATGAAATAATTTTTGGGAAGAGCAGCAATATGTATTTTGCACAGATAAAGATAATTTCTCGCTTTATGTATTTTTTATGTGCATTAGTATATTCTGTGAACTTTTAGCATCTTCAGAAGAGAATCTTTTTATCTGTGCTTATTGATTTACATATACATTTTATTAAACACATATTTTTATTATACATAGATTTATTACTTATATGTCAATAACTATAATCATTTTAGTGTAGTTTTATTATTAGAAAAATAAAATAGCAAATATAAGTGCTTTATTTATAGCAATTTTTTAAGATATTGAACATCCTAACTGTATTTATCCATTCTTTTAATCCATTCATCACATGTAAGCTGAATGCCTATTATGTAGAAGATACATTCTATTAACTCTCAAGACCTTTTCATCCTTAAAAATTTCACATTTACCTGCTCAGCCTGAGCAAAGTGAGGGATTTAAAATTGGAGTATTAGGGCTGAATCTCAATTGAAGCTTTTCCTCTCATCTTTCAAACAAAAACACTTCTGAAGTGAGAAACTAGTAAAAGATAACTACCAACCATGATATTGGAAATTTATAAGAGCTCTGAATAGTAATATTAATCTTCAAAAACATCTAATTTGCGAGTTGGCGGAGCAAGATGGCTGAATAGGAACAGCTCCAGTCTCCAACTCCCAGCGCGAGCGACACAGAAGACCGGTGATTTCTACATTTTCAACTGAGGTACTGGGTTCCTCTCACTGGGGAGTGCCGGACGATCGGTGCTGGTCAGCTGCTGCAGCCCGACCAGCCAGAGCTGAAGCAGGGCGAGGCATTGCCTCACCTGGGAAGCGCAAGGGGGAAGGGAATCCCTTTTCCTAGCCAGGGGAACTGAGACACACAACACCTGGAAAATCGGGTAACTCCCACCCCAATACTGCGCTTTAAGCAAACAGGCACACCAGGAGATCATATCCCACACCTGGCCGGGAGGGTCCCACACCCACGGAGCCTCCCTCATTGCTAGCACAGCAGTCTGTGATCTACCGGCAAGGCAGCAGTGAGGCTGGGGGAGGGGCGCCCACCATTGCTGAGGCTTAAGTAGGTAAACAAAGCTGCTGGGAAGCTCCAACTGGGTGGAGCTCACAGCAGCTCAAGGAAACCTGCCTGTCTCTGTAGACTCCACCTCTGGGGACAGGGCAATAACAAACACAGCTGAAACCTCTGCAGACGCAAACGACTGTGTCTGACAGCTTTGAAGAGAGCAGTGGATCTCCCAACAGGGAGGTTGAGATCTGAGAAGGGACAGACTCCCTGCTCAAGTGGGTCCCTGACCCCTGAGTAGCCTAACTGGGAGACATCCCCCACTAGGGGCAGTCTGACACCCCACACCTCACAGGGTGGAGTACACCCCTGAGAGGAAGCTTCCAAAGCAAGAATCAGACAGGTACACTGGCTGTTCAGAAATATTCTATCTTCTGCAGCCTCTGCTGCTGATACCCAGGCAAACAGGGTCTGGAGTGGACCTCAAGCAATCTCCAACAGACCTACAGCTGAGGGTCCTGACTGTTAGAAGGAAAACTATCAAACAGGAAGGACACCTACACCAAAACCCCATCAGTACATCACCATCATCAAAGACCAGAGGCAGATAAACCACAAAGATGGGGAAAAAGCAGGGCAGAAAAGCTGGAAATTAAAAAAAAAAGAGCGCATCTCCCCCGGCAAAGGAGCGCAGCTCATCGCCAGCAACGGATTAAAGCTGGACGGAGAATGACTTTGACGAGATGAGAGAAGAAGGCTTCAGTCCATCAAATTTCTCAGAGCTAAAGGAGGAATTATGTACCCAGCGCAAAGAAACTAAAAATCTTGAAAAAAAAGTGGAAGAATTGATGGCTAGAGTAATTAATGCAGAGAAGGTCATAAACGAAATGAAAGAGATGAAAACCATGACATGAGAAATACGTGACAAATGCACAAGCTTCAGTAACCGACTCGATCAACTGGAAGAAAGAGTATCTGCGATTGAGGATCAAATGAATGAAATGAAGTGAGAAGAGAAACCAAAAGAAAAAAGAAGAAAAAGAAATGAACAAACCCTGCAGGAAGTATGGGATTATGTAAAAAGACCAAATCTACGTCTGATTGGGGTGCCTGAAAGTGAGGGGGAAAATGGAACCAAGTTGGAAAACACTCTTCAGGATATCATCCAGGAGAACTTCCCCAACCTAGTAGGGCAGGCCAACATTCAAATCCAGGAAATACAGAGAACGCCACAAAATACTCCTCGAGAAGAGCAACTCCAAGACACATAATTGCCAGATTCACCAAAGTTGAAATGAAGGAAAAAATCTTAAGGGCAGCCAGAGAGAAAGGTCTGGTTACCCACAAAGGGAAGCCCATCAGACTAACAGCAGATCTCTCGGCAGAAACTCTCCAAGCCAGAAGAGAGTGGGGGCCAATATTCAACATTCTTAAAGAAAAGAATTTTAAACCCAGAATTCATATCCAGCCAAACTAAGTTTCATAAGTGAAGGAGAAATAAAATCCTTTACAGATAAGCAAATGCTTAGAGATTTTGTCACCACTAGGCCTGCCTTACAAGAGACCCTGAAGGAAGCACTAACATGGAAAGGAACAACCGGTACCAGCCATTGCAAAAACATGCCAAAATGTAAAGACCATCGAGGCTAGGAAGAAACTGCATCAACTAACGAGCAAAATAACCAGTTAATATCATAATGGCAGGATCAA